AAAATATATATTTTTGTGTTGATAAGCTGAGTGGTCTGTTGACTGACCACACAATTATTTGTATTTGTTCAAACATTTGTAATGGGCAGGTTACAATATAAAAAAAATGTTTGTCATAATCATGTCTTGTGATTATTTGACAGGAGTTTTACTTTTAAACTATAAGTGTATTTAATTTGGTCATAATGCAAATACAATACACATTAAACAAAGATTTAGAATAATTATCATTTTGATCCGTATGGTAATGTGTGACTGGGCCTCGTGTCACTTTATGTTCAATAAATTGGGCCCTGAGGTTAAAAAGGTTAAGAACCCCTGCCCTAAAGGGTTAATGTTCCTGATTAAAGGGTGGTGGAGTTGTGTGTCTGTGGTACAGTGAGGAGACAGAGCAGAGCAGTGCAGGAGGAGGAAATTAGCTGTGTTTTTATCATGAGTTGCAGCTGGGGCAGCTCCTGTAGCCATTTAACACACATGCTGCATTAAGTTTCCTGTTATTTTGGGATCTACAGGTAAAGTCTCAAAGATCTCCACATGTCTGTCACTCCTCACTCCAAGGTACAGAGGAGCGGGAGTTCAAGCACCTCCCCTGCCTCGTGTCTTCTGAATGAAGAGAGTTTATTAAGGCAGGTTTATACATTAAAAGGCGTCAACTGAAAATAGTTCCATAAAAACGTCCACGTTGTTACACATCGCTGGAATTTGTAGCATGCAGGAATTTCCAGTACTAAAAAAAATTAGATTTGCAGGGATTGGTCATAATATGTGCAATACCCGCAATCCCACAGTGAATTTCAGGCCCTGAATTAACAGATGAGACTGAACCGAAGTCCTGAAATCAGAAAAACAGCAACAATCAAAGAGTTCAGCTCCAGATTCAAGTAGTTAGTGCTGCAAATACTGATGCAGGAAGCAGATTTTCTATGCTTTCATATGGAACAAAAAAATAAATAAATCTGAAAAGGTTTACTCACTCTGGCCCAGTTTCACTAGAAGAACCCAGTAACTGTATTTAGCTCTGTTATGTGCCCATTATCTGCCCCTGATTTCTCTGTGTTCACACAGTTAGGATGAAGGTTTATGGTCAAGTAAAGTTTCGTCACACCTAGTCCTAAAACTGAAACACTCAAAGGAAATAAACTTTGTGGATAAGGAGATATGCGGTGCTGCTGATATTCCAATGGATCAACATAATATAAAAGTGCAGACCACCCACAACAGGAGGGAGACTGAATTCAGAAACAGACACTGGAGGAGTCTGACCTGTTATTTTATTTATTTTTTTATTTTTGATTACTGGTGAACGGACGGAGAACAAATAATCGTTAATCAAGAATTTGAATCAGTCAAACTTATCTGCCCATTCCTTTTCTGGAGCACAGGGTGGGTGTGTTGAAGTTAAAGTGAATCAATAACAGATTTAAATTATATGTATTCACTTCTGGATCTGTCAGTTCAAATCACAACATAGTTACACTAATTACAGTGTGTTGAAAGGTTGATATCAACAGGTTAGGTATCCCGAAGTTATAACAGCAACAACTGTATTTTTACCATTTTATTAGTAGATGCAACCACATGCGACACTAGCTGTGTTTCCATTGCAAATGTGCGCAAAACCTTCTCAATATTCTGTTAATGTAAAAAAAAACAGTTTCGCAATGGCTGTGTTTCCATTAAGTAAGAAATCCTATTAAAGTCACGCATGAATACATTTGTTCTCGCGATAAGTCATTACAAATATGGCGGCGATGGATGTAAACACATAGCATGTTGCTACCACGACACTAGCGCTCATCATCAGAGGAGACGTCGGCGTCTTTTATCGAGACTTTCCAGAGACAAGTCCCTACTTGGGAGCGGCTACGTATGCTGTGTTTTTGGGAAATTGTAGTCGGTGAGTTTAATACTTTACTACTTCTGTGATATTACTACTATTTCTACTTCCTGTTTTCTTCTTCATCATCGTCTTTTTCACCAGTAGAAACAGCCGGTTGTTGATCACGTGACTCCTGTGATGCGAAAAAACTGTTTCCATTACAGTTTTGCGAAAAACACCAATTTCGATACGGCTGAAAAACCACCTCATCCTAGCGCAAAAACATTTTGTCGAAAAACGTAATTTTTTTTCGAAATTAACATGTTTCCATTGAGCAAATTTATTTTCGAAATTCTAATTTGCGCATTTTCATGGTCAATGGAAACGCAGCTACTGATGACTGTGGGAATTCTAACACACCTGTCCTCTCTGCGTGAAGGTATAAAAGAGCAGCAGATTGTTCCTCGGTCTGCTTGTTTCATTAAAAAACATATGAGATGGTCTTTGTTGCTCTGGCTGTTATCCTGTTTAATTAATTTTTTTATGTTTGTTTACAATCTAACTGTTTCTGTAGACGGTGTTATTTTAACTATATATACAGTATGTGACCCATCATATCGAAATGAGGATTAAGTCAAATTTGGTCAAAATGACCTAATTACATTTTCAGATTCTTGGCTTTAAAAGCTACATTTTGATACCTGGATCATTCTGATATCATAATTAAATCCATATATATGACTTAATTTGTCTTGTTGGTTACAATAATACATAAATATTTGGCCTGAATCCTAATTTTATGTCATTTTAATGAGAAAGTTTTGATGTCCTTATAAAGAGGAAACCTCAAATTATTTGAATATTGAGATTTCCCAGCTAAAAACAAACAAAACTTTGCTAACTCACGGGGAAAATCTCGAAATTTTAAGGCGTTTTTCCTCAAAATCAGTTATTTTTGTTGCTACTGCTCAAAAAAAGTGCTTCAAAATTTTGTTTTATGGTTATACTTCAGACAATTCATTCAAATGATACATTGATAAGGCATTTATTCATTATATTTTGACAAAATGCAATTGTTAACATTTTATTCAAAACACTATATTTGCCTATTTCTACATACACCACTTTTAGACTTAATCCTCGTTTCGATGTGATGGGTCACAAATATCAAAACCTTCATTCAGAAAAAGAATGCAGTGACTTCTGGTTTCTGTCAGCCTTTTGCTGAAATTAACTCTTATTTAGTTTTATTGCTACTTTTATCTTTTAAATAAGGTTTCCTAATTTAGAATTAACCACTGATTTTCAGGGATTTAAGCTATTCTCAGCTGTCATTCAGGATTCTTCACACAACATTTCACAGGAACGACTCAGCTCTGTAGTGGTCTTAACTACAGTCAGATTTAAATACAGTTCAGTTTAAATTATGCGTTTGTGGTGATGGAGGCTGTCCAACACTCAAAGACAAATAAAACTAAATTAAACTACTGTTTAATTTCTGTTTTTTTACCAGGTGCATGATGACTTATTGAACTATGGGCAGATTAACAGTGTGTTTGCTAATCTTTCTTTTTAGGAACGAATGTTAAAAATCCTAACCTGGTGATTTTGGGCCTCAGTGATAAATAATTCATCCACAGTTATAAAAAGATAAAATCTGCATAGAAAATCTGAGGGCTAAAATCCAAAAGGACTTCTTGTCATGCATGAGATAAAGAAACTTAATTTTCCAAAGCTTTTAAACTCCATGTGATTAGTAAACTCCATTTACTGAAGGCAATAATTGGCAGAGGAGGCACAGCGTGGTTAGAGCGAGGAACCACAGGGAGAACGTGGAGATACAGTACCAAAGTCATTGGCAACCGTCTTGGAAAAACGTCTGCTTTTTAACTTCACTGGAAATGAGGTTTAAAAATACACATCAGATGTTTTCAGTAATTTATAATCTGTTAGAACTACAGCATATTTCAAACATACAATACCCTTCTCTATGAAGTTCTGTTTTCGATCATCATCTGAATTATATGGTGAGGTAGATCCTACATGATAAACAGCAGATGTATTTCAAAGCTCTAATGAAACATGTGGGAACAATGACTGCAGAGAGGCCTACCTGACGTAGGTGATTTGCATCGGTCCTCTGAGTTATTTGACCCATCATTGGAGTCACCAAGTCCTGCAAGAGTCAGATTTTTATTTCAAATATAACAGCAAAGGTACACATCTACAAAAAACTCTTTTCTACACTTGTCACCTGACTGATTACGGAGCCCGCGAGGGGACATGGGAGATTTTTTTTCTTTTGCGTTCCCATGCAAAAGTGGTTTATCACTGTTGTGCCTGCCGGTTTATTAACAAACTCACATGTTCACCATTAGCGAGTTAGCCTACTGCTTTAATTCAGCTTCAGAATGAATATATCACACAGCCACGCATGGAAGTATGTCAAATGCTGATATTTTAACACAGTGCAGACACGCAACATCAGCGTCAATTTCATGAACTTGTGGCGACACATCCTGTTTTAGTAACTGGATATTTCAAAATAAAAGTCTGATTTAATTCCATTCATATACAAATCAAATTTTTTCGGGGAACAAAACAATTTTGCGAGGTAACGCAAAGATATTGCGAGGTAACGTAAAGGTATTGAGAGGGAACAAAAAGGTATTGAGAGGGAACAAAAAGGTATTGCGAGGGAACCCAATGGTATTGTGAGGGAACCCAATGGTATTGCAAGGGAACGCAAAGGTATTGCGATGTAACGCAAAAATATTGCGAGGGAACGCAAAGGTATTGCGAGGGAACACAAAGGTATTGCGAGGTAACGCAAAAGTATTGCGAGGCAACGCAAAGGTATTGCGAGGGAACGCAAAGGTATTGCGAGGTAACGCAAAAGTATTGTGAGGGAACGCAAAGGTATTGCGATGTAACGCAAAGGTATTGCGAGGGAACGCAAAGGTATTGCGAGGGAACGCAAGGGTATTGCGAGGGAACGCAAAGGTATTGCGAGTGAACGCAAATGTATTGCGAGGGAACGCAAAGGTATTGTGAGGGAACGCAAAGGTATTGCGAGGGAACACAAAGGTATTGTAAGGGAACGCAAAGGTATTGCGAGGGAACACAAAGGTATTGTAAGGGAACGCAAAGGTTTTGCGAGGGAACGCAAAAGAAAAAAATCCCCCCATGTCCCCTCGCGGGCTCCGTAATTGATAACTACTGAGCTAAGTTACTGAAAAAAAAGCATATCTATTACAAATCTGTTGTCGGGAAGCAGGACTGAAAGATACACAACCAGATTTAGCTTCAGAGCTGAAAACTCAACTGTGAGTTTGGGAGGTTTGTGGACCTGAGTCAAACCAGGGAGTGTATCATTAATAGGCCAACAGCTTCCAACATTAATGAAGGAAAATAATCACTGACACAACAGGACTTACTGAAGTGAGATGAGCGCAGTTTTTTCACAGACTGAGAATAGAAGTTAGAAAGTCTGGACATGTAAGATGGAGCAGTTGGAACGTCTTAATCAAATCACAGACAGACACCAAAGAGTGAAAACAGTGAGACAGAAAAAAACTGATAATCACAAGGTTCTCAGTGGCTTTCTGCAAAAACAGTACAATGTGTTGGACTATTATCAGATTGGGTTTTTCACATTGAAACTGAACACAGTCTGTGGAAAATGAAACTCAAGCTTCTTTCAATTCTTCCATTTTACATATTAGGACATAAAACAGATTTTCACAGGTTGTAATAAAACCTGTGACCAAAAACACAACAAATTACACCCTGTCTTTATTTATTACGCGTTAAAATTGGTCCCAGTCCTGTTTTTTATGGTTATATTATGTTTATAATATGGTTATAATGGAAATGAGGAATTCAGGGAAAAAAATGGAAAAAGGTGAATTTAGAAAAATAAAAACGGAAAAAAGGGGAATTTGGGAAAAAAACAAAACGGATTTTATAGGGCCCTAATCAATCAGATCCAGTAGGATCTCCAGTTTGCAGATTAAAGTTCAAAGGTCATGCCTTGTTTAGAAGTGCTGCAGGAAATAAATGTCTTGTCTTGTCTTTGTCTAGACTCACTTTTTGCACTGGTTGCACATTTTTTCTTAGGTGTACCAGCTCAAATGTTAGGTGCAAACACATTTTCAACCACGTCGCATTTAACTTTGGAGTTTTAGCGGTTAATTTGTTTAAAAATCACTGTTCGTTAAGGCAATACTAACTCACAAATAATTAATTAACAGCCTAGCAAACATGAAGTTCTATATTTGAACCAGAATTGAACATGACCTAAAACTTACTGAAAAAGGTTATGATTCTATGAAAATTCTAAGTGAAATGTTTAAGAGCCGAACATCTTATAAACGTCAAACTGAACATTTCATAGTTAAATGTCTTTTACACTACACCTGCCCCTCAGATGGACAACTCGTGTAGATCCTTCTGGATCTTTGGCCTTGTTTAAACCTGAATGATGAGCAGAAAATATTTAATAATAGAAGAAATATTACTGATATTTATTAAGAGTGCAGCTTTAAAAAAAAACAGAACATCTGCAATTTCATTAGCATTAGTTGCATCTGGCAGCATGGTGGATCAGTTGGTAGAGCTGATGCCTCTCAGCAAGAAGGTCGTCGGTTCAAATCCCGGCCCGGGGACCTTTCTGGGTAGAGTTTGCATGTTCTCTCCATGCATGTGTGGGTTTTCTCCGGGTACTCTGGCTTCCTCCCACAGACCAAAAACATGACTGTTAAGTTAACTGATAACTCTAAATTGTCCCTAGGTTTGAGTGAGAGAGTGAATGGTTGTTTGTCTCTATGTGGCTCTATGTGTCTCTGTGACGGACTTGCAACCTGTCCAGGGTGTACCCCGCCCCTCACACAGTGACTGCTGGATATGGATACCAGTGACCCCCGTGACCCTGAAGGAATAAGTGGGTATAGATGACTGATGGGTGGATAGTTAAATCTGAATGAAATAGTATCTTTCACTTAAATAACTAATATGTTTAGTCATAAAACCAATTTCAGATACCTGGAATGTAACTGTGATGAAGGTGATTAGGTATAAAAGCGGCCTGCGATACGCTGTGTTATTGTGTAGTGTTAATGTGTTATTCTACAGATTGGCTTGGTGGTCTCCTGGTGTTCTACAAATCAGCGTCTGCGACTTTTCATCTCCTGGCTGACTGACCATTTCGATGGGTGGCCGTATTCTATCAGGACTCGGACATTTTGCCTTGAGCAAGCTGGACTCGGTCTGCAAGTGGTTCTACTGAAGGTCGCGGGCCGGCTGTGGTCCTTGGACTTTGCTGGCTAGATGGAATTGATCTTGGAAGAATCTGATTGATATGGCTCAGCGGAATTTGTCCACACCATTTTGCCTGATTGGCATTGCCACCTTGAGATGTACCAGCAGGAACTCTAAGGCTGATGGAAAATTGTTGTCGTCTGCTTGACTCTTTTATTCCCAAAACAACTGAATACAGAATCTGGATCTTCCTGACAACGGCCTTGGATCTGTTGACTAAATTCTTCCTGGCTGGATGTGTCGACAAGGCTCTGCCCCATACCTTTCCCCGTCCTCTCTCACTCAGCTAATTCTGTTTTCCAGAGCAGGTTGAAAACTGCACAGAAATGAACAATTTTTCTGAACTTTGACTGCGCCAGCCTTGGGGACTGGATTCTTCGGGCCCCCTTAAACTCATTTACTCCTCTGGCTAATAACTTGCTCTATGCAGAGTTTTTTTCATAAACACCATAGTGCGTCACAGTGTTGATATAATATGATGTTTTGTTTTTTTCCTCATCTTCCATTCCCTTGTGTGTTTTCAGTTTTTCTTTGTTTCTAAGTTGGCGCCATGGCAGGCTACCTGTTTCTGCAGCTCCACTGTTTTGGGCTGCTGTAATTTTCAAATTTCCCAACTGTGGGATCAATAAAGTTCTATCTTATCTTATCTTTTCTTATGTGAGCTTCCTTGTGCTGCTGAAATGATCTGCTGCGCTCACAGAGCACAACTCGACTGTTAGATTAGCAAGAAAACAACCATCCATATCTTATTTTCATCTCCACAGGTATCAAGAAAAAAATAAAGTTTTTCAGACTGTGGTTTGGGGGAATTTAAAAAAAAACCCTACTACGGTTGTTTCGCTATGAATGTGTGCATTTTTATTTCATGATGGGGACAATATTGACCATTTCCCTGGTACGCACATTCTGGTGACATTAAGGTTTGGGTCAGGTGTGTAGCCTTCCTGTGAGGTCAGGTTTGGCTACAGAAATGACCGGAAGTCAATGAACTCTAGAACCCTGACTTATAACATTAGACATTGTTTGATAAACATTTACTTACACTGTAAAAGACTGACTGTAATTATAACTGTTTAGTTTTTATACATTAAAAAAAGTCATATGGACAGCACCATTTTATTAACTCCACACAGCACACAGGGTAAATGTTGACTGTCTCTAGGTTCTCCAACACGGTGGTGGAGGCTGATGGTTTTGGTTCCTTGAGTGTCTCATGAACTCCTCTGTAGACCAAAGGGTTCTAAAAGTGAGCCCATCTGTCTGACAGCTGAGGTTTGGACCAAACTGGGTCCAACGGAACAAGGACTCAGAACACAGCAACAGAAATCCTCCACAACCTTCTGATAAAGTCCTACAAAGAGCCACTGAGAGGAGGTTTTACAAGCTGCTGGATCAGAGGATGGGTCCAGTTTTTAACAGCTTTAACTCTTTTTTTTAATTGTAGGGATCACCTCGAGTGAAGAAACAAGATTTACTGCTTCAAAGCAGGCCTCGCACAGGCCTGACGAGAAGACAGGAACTCTGTCACAAACTGAACTCTATTTAGGCCGTGACAGGTCATTTCAACCCAGAAGAGATTTTCTCGGTTCTCTTAATCAGATAATGGACAGAACAATCTTTTTGTTCTTGATTCATTTGTTGTTTAACCAAGAATGTTTATGCATTTGTTAAATCATGATAATGACTGTCACAAGAAAAGTGGACTCACTTCTACTCTTTAATCGTGCCTAAAAGATTAATTAATGGTATAAAAAATCCCAGAGAAAATCATTACCATGTTTTCAGTGTGTTTTTATATAAATCACTATTTTTATTTTACTGGGAACACAGTAATATAATTGTG